GCGCTGTGGCCTTCGGAGTGGCACTGCTGGAGCTGGAGGCCCTGGAGCTGCTAGTGCTGGAGGTGCTGGTGCTGTTGGCACTACTGGTCCCGGGGGTGCTCATGCTGGTGGCGCTGGAGCTGCCGGAGCTGGTGGTGCTGCTAATGCTGGAGGTGCAGGAGGTTGTGTAGTTTCTAGAGCTGCTGGAGCTGGTGGTGCTAGTGTTGCTCGAGGTGCTGGAGCCGCTAGTCCTAGAGGTGCTCGTACTGGTGGTACTGGAGCTGCTGGAGCTGGTGGTGCTGCTGCTGCTGCTGGAGGTGCTGGAGCTACTGGTCCCGGGGGTGCTCGTAGTGGAGGCACTGGAGCTGCCGGAGCTGGTGGTACTACTACTACTGGAAGTACTGGAGGTGCTGGAGCTGCTGGTCCCGGAGATGCTCGTACTGGAGGCACTGGAGCGGCCGGAGCTGGTGGTGCTGCTGCTACTGGAGGTACTGGAGGTGCTGGAGCTGCTGGTCCTGGAGATGCTCATGCTGGAGGTAGGTGCTAGAGCTGCTGGTCCTGGAGGTGCTTGTGCTGGAGGCAGTGCAGTTGCCGGAGCTGGTGGTACTGCTGGTGCTGGAGGTACTGGATCTGCTGGAGCTGGTGGTGCTGGTGGTGCTGGAGGTGCTGGCGCTGCTCGTCCTGGAAGTTCTGGAGGTACTCTCTCGCCACAGCAGCTATGCGAGTGGTACACTCAGCACTGCCGCCTTTGGCGTGGCGCTGCTGGGGCTGGAGGCACTGCGACTGGAGGCGCGGGAGCTGGAGGTACCGGAGCGGTCGGAGCTGGTGGTGCTGCGGACACTAGAGCTGTAGGCGTTGGAGCTGGTCACCCGAGAGCTGGAGCTGCTGGAGCTGAAGGCGCTAGAGCTGGAGGCGCTAGAGCTGGAGTTTCTAGAGCTGCTGGAGGCCCTGGAGCTGTTGGTACTAGTACTGGAGGTGCTGGTGCTGGAGGAGCTGGTGCTGGTGGTGCAGCACAACCGCGACTGTTCTTCGCTCCGCCGTCACTGTCGTCTCTGCCGCCGCCTGGCTCGGTGCTTCGCCAGGTTCTTAGCCTCCCGTCTTCTACTGGTCTCCCGTTATAGCCAGGCTCCCCACTGCCTACTCCCTCTCCTTACACAGAGCAGACCGACTCACTTATAGAGCGTCGTGGGACTGCGTCTTATCCTGCCTCGCCTGTTCGCTCTGTTCGCACTGGTCGTTGTGTTTCGCGTTAGCGTCCTCCTCCTGTCCCCGGCATGCACCATATGGCACTTTGTACTTCCTCTATTCCACAGCGTGTCCCTCTGCCGTCTCCTCCTGCGTCCTCTCTTGCTGACGGACCCGACCCTGAGTGTGACCTGGTTCATGCTGCCAGTCCTACTTTTACGCGTCTCTTAGCCACTGTTGTCTTCAAGGCTCGTTACATTGCACGAGGCTTTAGTCAGCGACAGGGAATTGACTTCTTCCAGACCTTTTCCCCTACCCCGAAGATGACCACTCTTCGAGTGCTGCTGCACGTCGCCGCTCAGCGTGACTACGAGCTTCACTCTTTTGACTTCAGCACAACTTTCTTGCAGGGCAGCCTGCACGAGGAGATTTGGATCCGCCGTCCACCTGGCTTCACTGGGTCGTTTCCTGCAGGTACCCAGTGGAGCCTCCAACGCCCAGTCAACGGTCTCCGCCAGGCGCCTCGTGAGTGGTACCACACACTGAGGACGACACTTGCGGCACTTGGGTTTGCTCCTTTGACTGCAGACCCGTCGATATTTCTCCGCACCGACACTTTGCTGCCGCCGTTCTACATCCTCGTGTACATCGACGTCTTGTTTTTTGCCACAGCTGGCACTGAGGCACTCGCCCTTGTGAAGTCGGAGCTGCAGAAGAGACACACGTGCACAGACCTGGATGAACTGCGCAGCTATCTTGGCTTGCAGATCACCCGGGACAGAGCATGGCGCACCATCACACTGGCTTAGTCACACATGGTGCAGCAGGTCCTTCAGCGCTTCGGCTTCACTTGGTCCTCGACAGAGTCCACTCCTCTGGCTATCGTTCACTTGCTCTCAGCCCCACCTTTGGACGAGTCCGTAGAGCCGAGTGGCCCGTATCCAGAGCTAGTGGGCTGCCTCATGTACCTGATGACCTGCACTCGTCCTGACCTTGCGTACCCTCTTGGCCTTCTGGCACGCTACGTTGGTGCAGTCTCCTCTCCTCCCGCAGTTGCCTTTGCCGTTGCTGAAGGTTTCCCGTTCCAAGGGATGATGGGCAGCTGCCACAGGTCCTTGATGCAGCTGCTCTTCTCCTCCAAATCCCACGGCAGCAACTTCCCAAGCTTTGCACGGCAGCTGGTTGGGCAGAACGTCACTTTGGCCTTGCTCTTCTGGAGCCGGCGCACAGAAAGAAGGTTAGCTGTCAAACCTTCAACCAACAACACATTCCCCAGCCCCACAAGCCCCCCTTTAGCTCCCATTACCTTGGCATTCCCCACACCAATCACAGGGAGCAAGGCACCTGAAGCGGCAGCCACAAACTCGATCTTCCCAGGGGGTTTTACCTCGTCAAGCAAATCTGCCCGTGGGGTCATGTGACTTGTGCAACCTGAATCGATCACCCAGTGAGTGAGGGGGTGCATGACTACCTTCCCAACCGAACCCACATCACCGTCACTCCCTTTCACATCCTCAACTATGAGGAACATCTCAGGGTCGGCTTTACCTTGTGCACCATCACCTTGTGCACCTGAACCTTGCACAGCACCACCTTGCGCCCGATCACCACTTGGCGGCTTCATGCCTGGAGGCGCCCATCCCTCAGGCCAGCTGAAACACTTGAACCATGTGTGTCCAACCTTCTTGCAGTACCACCACGCACCCTCCATTCGAGTGCTCCCCCTGCCACCAGAGCTCCCATGCCCCTCACTGTAGTCACCTCGGCCTCTCCCTTTGCCAAAGCCTCTCCCGCGGCCTCGGCCTTCCCCCCCCCCTCTTCCTCTGCTGCCTCCTGCAGCTCCATACCCCTCAGCAGTTTTCTTAGCAGCACCACCTCCTGTGTGGCGCCTGTGGAAGTCCTCCTGCAGAATCTGCTGCCGTAGCCACTCAGGCGTCCACTGGTCCTGCTGAGTGTTGAGGGTGGGGATGAGGTTGTCCCACGAATTGTCAAGCACCGAGATTATCTTGGTGTACTGCTGCATCTCCGACACTTTGCTGCCCGCCGCTGCCATCCTCGCATAGGTGTCCTTGATCTTGTCAAGGACCTGCTTCACATCGTCTCCCGGTCGCATGGAGAGGGCAGCCAACTCCTTCTCCAATACGATCACCATCGGCAGCGTGTTGGGCTGAATCACATCACGCAGTAGCTTTCACGCCTTAGGTCCCGAGTCGTCGAGCTCCACCAAATCCTTGATGTGCTGAAACATATCATTGTTGACCGATTGTAGGATTAGGTCGTACAGCACCGCGCTTTTTTCAATCCACCGATCACGGGCGTCGCCTTCCTCCAGCTTCTTCTCTTCTCCCATCGCAAGTTTCAGCAGCTTGTAGTGCTTAAACGCACTCCGCATCCGCCCGCTCCATTCCTCATAGTTGGAGCCATCCAAAACCTCGATCTTGGATGGTGGCGGCTCATTCCTCTTCTCGGCTGCATCTCCACTCCCTTGACTCATTTCCTTTGCTCCCAATCACAGGTTCCAGCTCCCCCTTTGTTGTCCAAACCGAAGTCCCGCTCAATTTCCACAAGTGTCGGCGCCAACGAAATATCGGCAAAGTTTCCTCTTAGCGGAAGACACGTCCAACCTCCAGAACTCCACTTACGCATGCCCACAGGCCATGGTGGGTCTAGGAGGGTCTTCACACTTTAGTAGACTCTCCACAAAGTCCTTAATCAGCTCTGATACCACTTGTTAGAGACTAAGGACGAGGTCTACGAAGATTATGGGCCTAAATTTCTCAAAAACGTTGGCTTAGAATTCTGGACAGAAACGTCGCCGTTGCAAGAAACGTCGTCGACAAAAATTGCACCATTGAAACTTCACCAAGCTCAGATATGTTGTAGCCCTGGTTCGTGGCTACAATTCCCAATTTGAATCGTACAATAAGGTGAAGTATTTCTTGACTTCTTAATTGCGGCGCACTATGGGGTATGCTGCTATAGAAAACTTACAAATTAACTTACAAGTTTACACAAAAAAGTTGAAGTAGCTAGAAAACAGGTAGGAGGGAAGAGGAAGACGAGAGTGAAGGTCCCCAAGGAGTCCCCAACCAAGGAAACCCCATACCACACAATTTCCCTCCCTATAGGCACCCCAACTTTGACCTTTGTCACTTTCCCAACCCATGCCATTCGGCTGTGAACGAGGGGGCTCCTGAAAATGAGCATCAACCGCTACCTGGAACACCTGCAGCTGACACGAGTGAGCATCCGGGTTGCCGCCCTGAAGTGAGTCACGCCGCACCGCCGACAATCATCTCCGGGCAGAGCAATGCCACGACCCTCGATCCGTTTGCGTTGAAGCCTCACCCAACTTGGCCACACTTGCCAACCTGGTTTGTTTTCTCCCAACCACTTGGCAGCATCTACAGTGATAGGGACGAATTTCCCAACCCCCCAAAAGTCTGTACCCCATATTGAGACACTCAACAAACTTCCCAAAGTCATCGCATCCCAATCAAAACTTCGAACAATTATAACTTCCTCGTTCTTGCTCCGATCGCAATGATTCTTGGTTCATCGGAAAGCTCTTGAGTAGAGGAGTCACTTCAGATATCTGCCCAAGCCAAATAACATTCACATACTCTCAGGAAATCCAAACCACACCAAACACAAATTCTTGCACATGCTCACACCACGCATGCAACGCACGAACATATGATGGGAGGCAGACAAACGTGAATGCATATGATTGCATCACACAACAGGAACATGCAGTCAAGCAAAGGGCAAGGAACATGCAGTCAAGCAAAGGGCAAGGAACATGCAGTCAAGCATCGAGCGCAAATTCAAGGCCTTTAACACTCACCAGCCGATAACCGTTGGCCGACCTTGGTCTTCACACGAATAACCAGGTTCCAGCGGTCACGGAAACGCTGGCTCCAATGAGAGCTCGCGATCTAGTTCTTGGCGGGGTGGTGTATCTTCATCCACTCGCGGCTCCATTTCTGGGTGTCTTTCGCCGAGATCGCCACCCCATTAGCGTGATGCAGGCAGACGTAGCGGTACAACGCCGCCTCCACGTCGGGGTAGTGTGCGTGGCGCCCCCCCCCCCCCCCCTGTGCATCCGCTTGCGGCAGTTCGCCGCTCCTTTGTAGACGCCCGCAACAGCCTCCGCACTCCAGCGTCTGATGCAGGCGATAGATGCGGTAGATTCCAAGGATGTCTTCTTCAAGGAGCCGAGCTCCTGGTAGCGGCGTGCCCACTTGAGCTTCTCGCGTACGGTCCATCCGCGTCGCCTTTTCTTACTGTCCTTACTGCGAGGGGAAGGTGGATGGGAGTTGGGGTGGGGTCTTTCAGCTTCGCCTTCTCAGGGAATGAAGGAATCGGGCCTGCCACCTCCGCGTAGTCATCGTTGCTGCTGAGCGCCTTGTTGACCACGATGCCGTCCTTGTTTGGCACCTTCTTCTTCTTCTTCTTCTTCTTCTTCTTCTTCTTCTTCTTCTTCTTCTTCTTCTTCTTCTTCTTCTTCTTCTTCTTCTTCTTCTTCTTCTTCTTCTTCTTCTTCTTCTTCTTCTTCTTCTTCTTCTTCGTCTTCTTCTTCTTCTTCTTCTTCTTCTTCTTCTTCTTCTTCTTCTTCTTCTTCTTCTTCTTCTTCTTCTTCTTCTTCTTCTTCTTCTTCTTCTTCTTCTTCTTCTTCTTCTTCTTCTTCTTCTTCTTCTTCTTCTTCTTCTTCTTCTTCTTCTTCTTCTTCTTCTTCTTCTTCTTCTTCTTCTTCTTCTTCTTCTTCTTCTTCTTCTTCTTCTTCTTCTTCTTCTTCTTCTTCTTCTTCTTCTTCTTCTTCTTCTTCTTCTTCTTCTTCTTCTTCTTCTTCTTCTTCTTCTTCTTCTTCTTCTTATTCTTCTTCTTCTTCTTCTTCTTCTTATTCTTCTTCTTCTTCTTCTTCTTCTTCTTCTTCTTCTTCTTCTTCTTCTTCTTCTTCTTCTTCTTCTTCTTCTTCTTCTTCTTAGCAGCACCCATGCTGGATCCGGGGTCGCCGTCATTCTTCCGCTTCTTGTTGCTTGGGCGGCGACGAACGGTGGCCTTAGTAGGGGCTTCCCCGACCTTGGTTTTCCCCTTGTCCGAAGCAGTGATGTGCGGTTGAAGCTCCTCCCCCGGACTGTCGTCATCAGAGAGCACCACGCGAGCACACTTCGGCTTGGACTGTAGGCGATGACGCAGCCTCCGCTTCAGAAGCGGAACATCGTCGTCACCCGTGATGCTCAACGGGTCGTCATCGGAGTTTTCACCGTCAAAGAAGACAGCATCAGCACCTCCCTCCGTAGCATGCGCAATTGCGACCACATCCGCGGGCGCAAGAGCATCGGCATCCGCTTCCACATCCTCTTCCGTCCTCGCTTCCGCATCCGCCTTGTTATCAGCCTCCGCATTCGCATCCACCGTCGCTCCCGTTGCATGCGCAGCTGCCTCCGCGTGCTCACCATCAGCATCGGCACCTTCCTCGTTGTCCGAATCACCAGCCCGCAACTCTTCCACTTCGTCGTCGCTCCCAACCGGCCAATTCCACCATTCGTCCTCGTCGATGTCGGCAGGGGCTAATTCATCCCCCGAAGCGCTGTCGTCGTGGCCGTTCTCCGGCCAATCGTCGTCGCCGTCATTGCCGTGTTCTTCGTCACCATCGTCGCCGTGTTCTTCGTCGCCGTCGTCCCCGTCACAGCTCGCATGGGAGGCAGCGGTAGATCTTCCCGCTTTGCGCGTATTCTTCGCCATGGCTACATGGATGTCATCACCGGGCGAGTTCATTCGCCCGTAGTTATTCACCTGCACGTGAGGGCGAGGTGAGGACGTGCCTGCGGGAACTTTGCTGCGCATGGTTACGGTAAGCCTGCCGAGAGCAAAGGTTGAGTTGAGATCTCAACTTCCTTGAGCACCAAATGAAGCTCAAGCCCGACTACCCCCCCCAGCCATAGTGCCCCTTCCAAAGGTGCCGAACCGCTCCTCTACGAGGAATCTCCTCGTAGAGGATAGCCCTCGCGCTGCCATCGTGTTGCCAGCAGCATTCTGGAAGCATCCATGCGCTGCTGGCAGCAAAACGACACTGGCAGCATCATTAGATATTGTCAGCACGGAAGGATGTTGCCAGCAGTGGCAGCTTTGCCGCATCCCTCACGTGGCAAGTGGGGGCGCTGCATGCATCACCACCGAGGTCTCCCTAATTCAAAGGTATAATGGTACCTGGGTGGTTTCTACACACTTTGCAAATGTTACAGAGTTCTTATTTTTTTTTCCATTTATAAGACTTATAAGACACCCTAAACCATCCCAGGTACAAGATAACCCAAGCATTTTGAGTGGTGTACAAGATAACACATATATGTCTACTATCCGGGCGATGACGGTAGAAGGATCATGGCCTTGTTGTCGGCGTACAAGGTCGGTGCAGAGCGAGGCCGCTCACCAAGGTCGGTGAGCAAGAAGGTCAACAAGCGAAACTCCTATGCCGCCATGGCACCAGCGTAGATCTCTGCCTTTGCACTAGACGAAGCCACAAACAACGACCATGTACACCTCCGCGATACAGCACCAGCACCCAGACTGAAGCAGTAACTCTGAGTCGAACGCTGAGTCTCCATGTCGTCAGCGTAGGAAGAGTCTCAGTGATTGGTCAACACAGCTGGCTGTATCCCTCCAAGCACAAGCCCCATGCCTGATGTAGTCGCCAGGTAGTTCGCCACCCTCACATCAGCTGTCCAGTAAACAGGACGGTGTCTCTCAGTTGCAACAAAGCGAGAGAGGACGCTGAGGGGAAAGGCGAGGTCCGACCGAGCACAAGTTATCAAGTACAAAAGGCAGCCCACAAGCTTTGCATAGGGACCACTAGACCCAAAGGGCTCATCGGGAAAAGGGCCAGTGAGTCGGTGGTCAACGGCAAGAGGAGTGGGCTGTGTGGTGGAGGACTGAATCCCGAACCGCCGAAGGACCTGCTGCACCATGTGTGACCGAGTCAGTGTGATGGTGCGAGGGGCTCCGTCCCTGGTGATCTGCAGGCCAAGGTAGCGCTGCAGTTCACCGAGGTCAGTGAACGTCTGTCTCTTCTACAGTTCGGACTTCACCTCAGCCAGAGCTGCCCTGTTTGCTATAGCAAAGACCAAGTCGTCGACGTAAACTAGTAATAAGAAAGGAGTGGAACCAGCGCGAACAAACAGCGACGGGTCGGCAGAGGAAGGATGAAATTTAAGGTCACGAAGCGACGGAATGAGGTGACTAGGAAAGGAAGGCAGTACAAATATGAAACCCTAACTGAGTTGTACTCACTAAGGAGCACCTCACTTTAGCCTAAAACACACATTAACATTTGACAATTTGCATGACGTGCGCTAGTAAGGATGTTTCGTGTCTGGCCAGCGAAAATGGTACGGAACGCATGATTGGCTAGAAATGTCAAAACATATTCATATGTTGTTAGTTCTGCTAGGCTACAGTGAGGTGCTTAGTATAGAGTACAACCCCCATTAGGGATTCATACTTGTATCACCCTGTTGCTAGTCTAACCTCATTCCTTGTGCATTATGTCGGGCATGGGGTTTGTGCTTGGAGGACGGGACTCAGTGGCACTCACATGTCACTCTGACGCTTCCTCGGCTGACGACCAGGCGACTCAGCGGACGTCATAGGGTTACACCTTCAGTCTTGGCTCCGGTTTTGTCTCGTGGAAGTCCACTCGTTCGTCTTCTGTGCTTGGTTCCAGCTGTGAGGCCGAGATCTACACTGGGGCTATGGCTGCACAGGAGCTACGCTGGCTGACCTACCTGCTGACCGACTTGGGGGAGTGGCCTCGTTCTTCTCCAGTTCTGTACATCAACAGCAAGGCCATGCTTGCCCCGTGTCACGAGCAGAGACTGGAGCTCAGAACGAAGTGAGAAGAATGAAGAACGAGGATGAATGAACTATGAATGAGGTGAGTACATATGGAAAACCCTAATTGGGTTGTACCCCCTATGGGATACCCCACTATAGCCTACACAACAGCATAAGCTATATAATGTTCTGACACACCCCCATAGGCAAAGTGGGGGAGAACAAGGGGTCACAAGACCAGTCAAGCAAAGCAGAGCAAGCTCAGGGTGGATCACAACGTCACCACACAGTCCGAGCACAACGACAAGGCCACAAGGCCAGTTCACATGCAGGAGTACACATATATATATAGAGCTAGACAAGCAAGAGCAGGTATATATATGTGACAGTACAAGTAAGGTCAAGAGGAGAGCAAGTGAGGCAAGACAGGTACAAGACCCAGCTGAGTGCAGAAGCGCTGATGGTCACAAGGCGCAAGTGCCTTGGTGAACACATCAGCAGTGTTGGCCTGAGAGGCCACGTACGCAAGTCGCAACTGACCACGCTGCTGCAGATCACGAGCAAGAAAGTAACGGAGAGCAATGTGCTTCGTTCTGTGCTCCAAGCGCTGCTCTCGACACAAGGCCAGCATGGCCTTGTTGTCTACGTACAGCACTGGAGGAGAACGAGGCGGCTCTCCAAGGTCAGTCAGCAGGTAGGTGAGCCAGCGAAGCTCCTGTGCAGCCATGGCCCCGGCGTAGATCTCAGCCTCACAACTGGAGCCGAGAACAGAGGACGAGCGAGTAGCTCGCCACGAGACAGAGCCGGAACCAAGACTGAAGGTGTAACCCTGCGACGACCGCTGCGTAGCCTGGTCGTCAGCCCAAGAAGCGTCCGCGTGCCCAGTGAGGACCACTGGACTCCGCCCTCCAAGCACTAGTCCCATGCCCGACGTACTGCACAAGTATCGCAACACCCTCTTCGCTGCAGCCATGTGCTCTGGTCGGTGTCTCCCAGGAGCAACATAGCGTGCAAGAATGCTAAGAGGGTATGCAAGGTCAGGTCGTGTGCAGGTCATCAGGTACATGAGGCAGCCAACAAGCTCTGGATACGGGCCACTCGACTCTACTGACTCATACGAAGGCAGAGCTGAGAGTGAGTGGCGAGTAGGCAGAGGAGTGGCCTGAGGCGAGGAGTACGTGAAGCCGAAGCGCTGAAGGACCTGCTGCACCATGTGTGACTGAGTCAGGGTAATGGTGCGGCGTGCTCTGTCCCGGGTGATCTGCAAGCCAAGGTAGCTGCGCAGTTCACCCAGGTCTGTGCACGTGTGTCTCTTCTGCAGCTCGGACTTCACGTGGGCGAGTCCAGCAGTGTCAGCTGTGGCAAAGACCAAGTCGTCGACGTACACGAGGATGTAGAACGGCGGCAGAGAGGTGTCGGTGCGTAGAAACAGCGACGGGTCGGCAGTAGAAGGAGCAAACCCAAGAGCCGCAAGCGTAGTCCTCAGTGTGTCGTGCCACTCACGTGGCGCCTGGCGGAGACCGTAGACTGGACGCCGGAGACTCCACTGGGTACCAGGAGGGAAAGACCCAGTGAAGCCAAGTGGGCGGCGCAGCCAGATCTCCTCGTGCAGGCTGCCCTGCAAGAAAGCAGTGCTGAAGTCGAGAGAGTGCAGCTCGTAGTCACGGTGAGCAGCAACGTGTAGCAGCACCCGAAGAGTGGTCATCTTCGGGGTGGGGGAGAAGGTCTGAAAGTAGTCAACTCCCTGTCGCTGACTGAAGCCACGAGCCACGTAACGTGCCTTGAAGACAGGCGGAGAACCCGGCGGCCGCTTCACCCTGAAGATCCACATGCCACTGACGATGTTCGCCCCAAGAGGGGGGACAGCGTCAACGTAGGTGCCTGTGGACTTCCAGGAAGCCATCTCTGCATCCATAGCTGCCTGCCACTGAGAGGAGTAGGGACCCTCTATCGCCTCCGCGTAAGAGCGCGGAGTCGGGATGTCAAGTGCATCCGGGTCTCCCTCAGGGGTAAGCAGTACGGACACGAGATGAGGTGAAGTAGCTGCCAGACACTGGAACTCCTCCTGCCTGTCCTCAAGGACGTCCGTGCCAAGGGCACACTCACCCCCGACTGACGGAGGACAGGCAGACCCAGACTCAGCGACAAGACTAGCAGCGTAG